CGGCCTTTAATTTAATATTTTTATTATTTTGTTTTAGACGGAGTTTTGCTCTTGTTGCCCAGGCCGGTTCAAGCAATTCTCCTGCCTCAGCCTCCTGAGTAGCTGGGATTACAGGCATGCACCACCATGCCCAGCTAATTTTGTATTTTTAGTAGAGATGGGGTTTATCCATGTTGGCCAGGCTGGTCTCGAACTCCAGACCTCAGGTGATCCACCTGCTGAGGCCTCCCAAAGTGCTGGGATTATAGGCATGAGTCGCCACGCCCAGGCTACCCAATTTATTTAGAGAAGCGTCCCCCTGCACTGCCTTTGCTGTTTAATCCTTGGGCTCGCTCATTCTGCTCTAAGGGTGAATGAGATGAGAAGGTTGACTGTTCCAAGTTAAAGACCTACAGTTAAGTCCCAGTGTATGGCCCTGTCTCTCCCACCTCCTTGGTGGTAAAGCCTCTGCCGTCGCTAAACTCCTCTATCATGACAGTATTCCATGAAGCAGCTTCCTCCACTCTTTAGTCAATGCACATCCACCCACGTGATGCTTTCCAGAAATTTACTGAAACCCTTGAGCAGATGGTCTCCTCCTACTTTGTTTTGTTGAGCTATGCCCCCCAACCTGCTATCTGTAAATTTAACGGGGTCCTCAGAAGGGAGAGGATATAAATGTGTGCTCCATATGCCATGCAGGCCAGGGATTCTGCTTGTTTTCTTTTTAACAGTAGCTTTGCAGATAATTCTACATATATGTTATAATGATCTGAGAATATATGTCTATATACACACACACATTTTTTTTTTTTTTTTGAGACAAGAATCTCTCTGTCACCCAGGCTGGAGTGCAGTGGTGTGATCTTGGCTCACTGCAACCTCCACCTCCCAGGTTCAAGCAATTCTCCTGTCTCAGCCTCCTAAGTAGCTGGGACTACAGGTGCGCACCACCAAGCCCGGTTAATTTTTGTATTTTTAGCAGGCATAGAGTTTCACCATGTTGGCCAGGCTGTTCTTGAACTCCTGATCACAAGTGATCCACCTGCCTTGGCCTCCCAAAGTGCTGGGATTACAGGTGTGAGCCACCATGCCTGGCCGTAACGATTCTTAGCTCACTCATGGCTGGCCAAATTTGATCCATGGGTTACAGTATGCCAATGTTTATTTGCTAGATTCCCTTTGTTTCACCATTTGAGAGAATGATGCAATACCCTTGTCTGTCAAAAGTGAGGAGTCATTTTTTTCCCATCTAATGTCAGGCCGTCATGACTCAGTTACTTGTGCATTGACAAAAATTACACCCATTTAGTTGTTGATGGAGAATGTTTTATTTATGCAATTTTTTCTGTACAGATGCTTCTGTCCTCATCTTTATATTTGTCTCCCTCTTCTCACTGAACTGTAAAATTCCTGAAGGATGAGACCTGGGCTGTTTAATGCAATCTGTACAATCTCAGCAGAGCACAAGCATCAAGCGGACATACGATAAACTTTAATAATGATCAAACACAAGTAAAAATAACCACTGAAAATACAAAACTCAACAAGAGACATAAGAAAAAGGCAGATGGAAAACAAGAAAAATTCTTATTTTAGAATGATGCTATACGTAACTTGTAAAATATTTAAGTTTATACATGAGATTATATTGGTTTCCTTATTTAAAGAAAAAAGGAAAAATTACAATTAAGAATAGAAATTAAAATGCAGAACCAAGATAAATATTTTTGGCTCGGCCCAGTGCGGTGGCTAATGCCTGTAAACCCAGCACTTTGTGGAGGCTGAGGCGGGCGGATCATGAGTTCAGGAGTTTGAGACCAGCCTGACCAACATAGTGAAACCCCGTCTCTACTAAAAATACAAAAATTAGCCGGGTATGGTAGTGGGAGCCTGTAATCCCAGCTGTTCAGAAGATAGAGGCAGAATAATTGCTTGAACCAGGAAGGTGGAGGTTGCAATGAGCTGAGATCATGCCGCTGCACTCCAGCCTGGGCGACAAAGCAAGAGGACATCTAAAAAAATATTTATCTTTTTGGCTCTTGGACTAAACAAAAGATTAGTGAGGAAAACCAAGAAATAATGGGGAGAGAAAGAAACAATACTACTAATTTTCTCTTCATGATTAAAAAAAAAAAAAACACCTTTTGGCCAGGCATAGTGGCTCACGCCTGCAATCCCAGCACTTTGGGAGGCTGAGGCAGGTGGATCACAAGGTCAGGAGTTTGAGATCAGCCTGGCCAATATGAAACCCTGTCTCTACTAAAAATACAAAAATTAGCAGGGCATGATGGCGGGTGCCTGTAGTCCCAGTCACTCAGGAGACTGAGGCAGGAGAATTCCTTGAAGCCAGGAGGTAGAGGGTGTATTGAGCCAAGATCACGCCATTGCACTGCAGCCTGGGTGACAGAGCGAGACTCCACCTCAAAAAAAACAGAACAAAAATCCCACCTTTTAACCATATTTGGGGTGATTGTAAATTAACAGTGATGATCTTTTAGAGCTAAAAAATCAGTGACACATTTCATTAAAAGGATCAAAGGAACTTTAACCAGACCATACATGTTAAAGGCTATTTAGCATAGCATTTTCATAGATTCAAAGGACATATTTAATGACAAGCAAACCAATAACCAGCAAAAATGAAGACTGTCCTTCCCTTTATAATGTGATATTAAAGTGCTGCCTATGGACATTTATAAAGTGTTTGAAGTTTAATTTTTATTTTACAAAAATTGACACTATTAAAACCAACATGATTATCTTTCACTCATCCAATAACTGAGCTAACAGTATTATAAAAATATGTAAAAAAAATTCTAGATTCAATTACCAGATATGCGAATACCCATATAGCTAGTATAAATCTGATGATTAAAAAAATAATTTTGTTTCCTTAAAAACACTTGGTTCATTTACCATTTAATATCAGATAGATATTTGCTATCCTGAAGTACCAAAAAAATCACAAATAAAAATGGCAATGTCTACACTTTAGGTTTCTTGTTAGGTGGATCCTGAAGACTAAACTTCGGAATTTCACCAGAAGGAGCATATGGAATTCTCTTGGAAGACACCTTTTTGCCAATTGTTTCAATCTGAAAAAAAAAATTTTTTTAAGAGAACTATTAATAATTATATAAGTGTAAGAATTTATAATGTACTGAAATGGGGGCAGGGGGAATCTAGAATTTTTTTTTTTTTTATCAGAAAAGGATTCTCAAGTTGTCTGGGTTGCTATGAGAGATCTTTGGTTTCTTCCCTATTTTTTGTTTCTAGAATTAATCTATACTTCATTTTAATATTCATATCTAGATTTTCTCATTCCTGCCACTCCCCACATCTGACTCTCTCAAAGTAGTAAATCATGTGCTACCACTGTCTTTAGAAACATGTATGAAAATAATTAACAGACCAGATTCCAGTGAGTTCATATTTTATCTCAAACCTTATTCTCATTTCAATTTCCCTTATACTAAAAAACCTTCAAAAGCTAACAGCATAATTTTTTTTTTTTTTTTTGAGATGGAATCTTGCTCTATTGCCTAGGCTGGAGTACAGTGGGATGATCTTGGCTCACTGCAAGCTCCTCCTCCTAGGTTCAAGCAATTCTGTTTCTGCCTCTTGAGTAGCTGGGATTACAGATGTGCACCACCACGCCTGGCTAATTTTTGTATTTTTAGTAGAGATGGGGTTTTGCCATGTTGGCCAGGCTTGTTCGTCTTGAACTCCTGGCTCATGTGATCCACCCACCTTGGCCTCCCAAAGTGTTGGGATTACCAGTGTGAGTCCCACCTTGGCCTCCCAAAGTGTTGGGATTACCAGTGTGAGTCACTGTGCCCAGTTTGTAACAGCATAATTCTTTCTTGCTCTGTCTCCCAGGCTGAAGTGCAATGGCGCAATCTCGGCTCACTGCAACCTCCGCCTCTTGGTTCAAGCGATTCTCCTGCCTCAACCTCCCAAGTAGCTGGGATTACAGGCACCTGCCACCGTGCCCAGCTAATTTTTGTGTTTTTTCATAAGGACGAGGTTTTGCCATGTTGGCCAGGTGGTCTCAAACTCCTGACCTCAGGTTATCCACTTAACCTCGGCCTCCCAAAGTGCAGGGATTATAGGTGTGAGCCACCATGCCCGGTGTATAACAGCATAATTGTTACGAGTTCAGGCTTCAGAGTCTGAAAGGCCCCAGCTGGAATCTTGACTGGCACTTGCTGTGTTACCTAAACTCTCCAAGTCTTTCTTCCTCACTTGGTAAATTGTGTTACCACCACTTACCTCAAAGGGTTGTGGTAAGTACTAAATTAGGTAAAGTGCTTAGCATACAACAAGCCAGCCTTCATTAAATGATAATTTTGTTTTGGCTATTACATTTTTTATTTATTCCATATATTCAAAGTCATCATCTTACCATTAAAAATACTACTACTTCAATAGTCATGAATTTATCTCCCTTCCCCGGCAGAGATAAATATATTACTTAATTTTCATAAGTCTTTTGAATTAAAAAATAATATTTAATTCTGATTCATGCCACAAAGGGCTTCTGCTTTATATTAACCAGTTGTCTTAGTGACTTACAAATTCTCCTTATTTAGTGATTCCATTCCTAATTGTTTTTTTAATCCTCACTAGGGAAGTTAACTTTTATAATAACTCAAAATCATTTAAAATATATATTTCTCTACATATCTTTTCCCTTAGATGAACAGGAATGAGAGAAAATGTGTCTATGCCCTGCAAATAACCTTTTAAAAATAACATTCCTGAGGCCGGGCGCGGTGGCTCAAGCCTGTAATCCCAGCACTGTGGGAGGCCGAGGCGGGTGGATCACGAAGTCAAGAGATCGACACCATCCTGGTCAACATGGTGAAACCCCGTCTCTACTAAAAATACAAAAAATCAGCTGGGCATGGTGGCGCGTGCCTGTAATCCCAGCTACTCAGGAGGCTGGGGCAGGAGAATTGCCTGAACCCGGGAGGCGGAGGTTGCAGTGAGCCGAGATCGCGCCATTGCACTCCAGCCTGGGTAACAAGAGCGAAACTCCATCTCAAAAAAAAATAAAATAAAATAAAATAAAAAATAACATTCCTGGCCAGGCGCAGTGGCTCATGCCTATAATCCTAGCACTTTGGGAGGCTGAGGCAGGAGGATCACGAGGTCAGGCGTTCAAAACCAGACTGGCCAACATGGTGAAACCCCGTCTCTACTAAAAAATACAAAAATTAGCTGGGCATGGTGGCTTGTGCCTGTAATCTCGCTACTTGAGAGGCTGAGGTAGGAGAATTGCTTGAATCGGGACCCGGGAGGCAGAGGTTGCAGTGAGCCGAGATTGTGCCACTGCACTCCCGCCTGGGCTACAGAGTGAGACTCTGTCTCAAAAAAAAATAAATAAATAAATGAAAAAAAAAAACATTCCTGAGTTTAGTCATGACTGGGAAAAACAGTCATGTTGTTACTCACTAAGGAGGGGTGGAAATAGAAGAGTCCCCAAGGTCTATGATGGAAGAGTTCACAGACAAGGATACCATTTCTTTCCACAAGCAAATCTCTCATGAATGAGAAATAGCCACTGAGTTCTAAGTAAGAAGGACTTTCAACAAGTTGGTGAGAGGTTAAGAGAACCAGATCAGATATTTTTGAATAGCAGATCAGGCCTTACTGGTACCTCTTCAAGATAGCTGGTGCTGAGAGGTACATAGCAAGCTATCAAATACTGCTGCTTTTCTGCTCTGCTTGGGCACTATATTGACAGCAACCCCCTGGCATATTTTTTTATTCTCCCTAACTTACTCCACCTCCCCATCCTCCCATCCCCATATACACACTGCTCTGAGGAAATGGAAAGTAGCTCCTTTTTAATACTTTTGGGACTCCTTGGAGAACTGAAATAGATGTTAGCATACAAATACACTGTTCTGGGTGGAGGCTTCTGTCAGCTTTCCAAATGTTCCATAATTGACAAACTGTTTTTTGTTTTTTGAGACAGGGTCACCCAGGCTGGCATGCAATGGCATGATCTCACCTTACTACAACCTCTGCCTCCCAGGCTCAAGCAGTCCTTCCACGTCAGCCTCCTGAGTGGCTGACGTTACAGGTGCAGACCACCATGCCTAGATAATTTTTTGTATTTTTTTAGAGATGGGGTTTTGCCATGTAGGCTAGGCTGGTCTTGAACTCCTGGCCTCAAGCGATCCATCTCCACAGCCTCCCAAAGTGCTAGGATTACAGGTGTGAACCAAGACACCTAGCCAGTTGACAAACTTTGAATCAGAAGAGGACCAGTACCATTGAAACTCCCATGTGTTCCATTCAGACCCCTCACAGCACTGGGACAGAATGAGTACCATTCAGAGTATTCAGAAGATACAGGATGAACACCTGCTGATTGACCAGCACCTCTTTCTTCCTGTATCTTTAGATCACAAATTTAGGGAGGAAACAGAGTAGTCAGAAAAATCCCAGAGACTTCCTAGAGAACTGACATGTTGCCCCAGAGTTACGTTACTGCTAAAGAAAATAAGAAAATTCTAGGTCAGGTGCAGTGGCTCATGCCTGTAATCCTAGCACTTTGGGAGGCCAAGGTGGGTGGATCATGAGCTCAGGTGTTCGAGACCAGCCTAACCAATACAGTAAAACCCTGTCTCTACTAAAAATACAAAAATTAGCTGGGCGTGGTTGCACGCGCCTATAATCCCAGCTACTTAGGCATCTGAGGCAGGAGAATCGCTTGAAACTGGGAGGTGGAGGTTGCAGTGAGCCAAGACTACACCACTGTACTCCAGCCTGGGCGACACAGTGAGACTCCATCTCAAAAAAAAAAGAAAAAAGAGAAAAGAAAAGTATAAATCCACGCAATGGGTTTGAAAAGCAAATGGGCCCTTGTCCTAATTGTTGAAATAAACTTCTGATATTGATTTTGTTTCCCAAAAGAATTACCCTAGAAAGAAGGTATCATCTTAATCAGCTAAACATATCCTGACCTGCTATGATGGTCTTTTGATGTGTCACTTGACTAGATTATAGTCTCCAGTTGCTGAATCAAACACTAAAGACCAAACCACACACAAAAAAAACCAGTCCAGGATCATGATTACCTGGAAGCCAATGGTCTGCAGTTCATTGTGGAGCCCATCCAGGACACGCCGTCCATCAAAGATAAAGGCTGGCTTCAGCATTTTTTTATGAATACGTTCATAATCCAGTTCCTGTAAAGACATACCACAGGAACAATTAAAACACATACATGAACACATATACTCAACCCCAGCTGATAGTGGAGTACCTCTAGAATTTTCCTTAGTATCATTTCTGTTACCTTACCTTAAACATGTCCCACTCAGTGCAAATAACAACAGCATGGGCACCATCACATGCTTCATATGGATCCTTGGAAATGGTCACAAGCCGGGACACTGTAACAACAGCAACAACAACAACAAAGAAAACAGAAATAAGGAGTTATTTGACATTACAGTAGTTCCCCCATTATCTGAAGGGATACATTCCAAGATCCCCAACTGTGGAGAGTACTGAACACTACATATACTTATACACATACTTGTTTTTTTTTTTAATCTGACAGCCAAAAGTCACTAAGAGACTAATGGGCAAGTAGCACATAAAGTGTGGATATGCTAGACAAAGTCACGATAAGTGTCTTAGGCAAGATGAAGCAGCATACAATTTAAAACTTATGAATTATTTCTGAAATTTTCCATTTAGTACTTTCAGACTGCAATTGACCACAGATAACTGACCCCATGGAAAGCAAAACCACACATAGGGGGATAGTACTATAGATATTCTAACACTAGGACTGCAGGAGGAGTTGGGAATCATCTGATTGTAGTATCAATGGGAATGACAGTGAGAGGCCCCAAACCCTGCTCTGGAAGCATCTCCTTGGAACTCTGGGGCTTTGTGGAATATGTTGGAAAAATCACTGGCCCAATCAATCCAAAGCTGATCACTTCAAATCAATGTCGATGACATTATGCCTAAGACTTTCATTTCAGAGAAATGAGGTTTAAAAGAGGGCATACCAATGATATAAATGATAAAACTGAACAACCTAAAGTTCCCAGATGATAACAAATTTTAAAGTTTGTACTCAAAATGATTTATGAGACTCAAAGGCATACCTTGGTCATCCTCTGAAACACCTGGATGAGAAAGATCCACAACTATTTGTTCCCTAGGTACTTTTGGATCATATATATGGAGGTGTGCGCCTTCATCCATCAAATATTTGCTAATATATATACTTGAAGATTCTCTAAAGGAAAAAAAAAATCAGTATTGCTAAACTTTACATGGCATTATATTATAATACCAGGGAGTTTAAGATACAGGTAAGATTCTATTTCTTAAGCTGGTTGAGTGGTGAAGATATGGATGTTTATTTTTATTCTTTATATATTTACATGTATTTTATGTAAACATCCATCAATCAAAAAATTAAGATGAGTTAACGCACTCTCAAAGGGGTTGAAATATTTTAAAAGACTGATACCTCGTATCACCAGTGTCCTTTTTGAATGCAAACCCCAAAATAGCTATCTTCTTATCAGTTACTGTATTAAACAGACTATCTATGATCCGGGAAGCAAACCTCCTCCTCTGGTAGTCATTCATGTCTATGACCTGAAATTACATGTACAATTGTGCAATGATTAGTTAAAAGTGGCACAGCCTGTGACACACATTACTCAGTTTTATGGTGAGTGCTATTGTACAAATACAGTGCTTACATATTAACAGGAGGCGAAAATTAACCAAACTTTAGTGCCTATAGATTTAAAAATAATAAAAAAAGAACCACTCATCCCCTTCCTTAAAGCCATCCAAAACCAGCTGTGGTAGCTCACACCTGTAATCCCAGCACTTTGGGAGGCCGGGGTAGGCGGATTGCTTGAGCTCAGGAGTTCAAGACCAGCCTGGGCACCATGGAAAGACCCTATCTCTACAAAAAATACAAAAATTAGCCAGGCATGGTGGCGTGTGCCTGTAGTCCCAGCTACTTGGGAGGCTGAGGTGAGATGGCTTGAGCACAGGAGGCAGAGGTGGCAGTGAGCCGAGATCGTGCCACTGCACTCCGGTCTGGGCAACAAAGCCAGACTCTGTCTTAACAAAAATGAAAAAAATAAAGCCATCCTAAAAATTTTTAATTTCATTTGACTTGATTTTCCATGCATAAGGCTGAGGCAGATGCAAAAAATGGAGAACACAACCAAGTTTTTTTGTTTTGTTTTGTTTTTGAGATGGAGTCTCACTGTGTCACCAGGCTAGAGTGCAGTGGCATGATCTCGGCTCACTGCAACCTCTGCCTCCTGAGTTCAAGTGATTCTCCTGCCTCAGTCTCCCGAGTATCTGGGACTATAGGCATGCCCAGCTAATTTTTTATATTTTTAGTAGAGACGGGGTTTCACCATATTGGCCAGGATGGTCTCAATCTCTTGACTTCGTGATCTGCACGCCTCAGCCTCCCAAAGTGCTGGGATTACAGGCATGAGCCACTGCGCCCGGCCCCCAAGTTTTTGAAGTTCAGCTATTAGACCAGCCTAAATAAGGCACATAGGAAACTATATTCTCCTTAGCCCATGTCTCTAAACTCTGTGGAAAAAAGCTATAAGCAATCAAACACCTTCATTTGCTTGTGCCCACTATTCACCAAAGTTCCAGTGGAAAGTGGACAGGGAACAAACAACATGCAGAGTTCTAGCTGTCTCTGGATGAACCATAACACCACAAACATTTGACAACGTTTTTCACTAACTAAATGTTATAAGAGTTTCTGATCACTTAATCTGTTAAATTTAGGTTGGTGACCAGGTGGGCATAGCAAAAGAAACTTCTTTTTTTAAGGCTTTAAGCTTCCAGGATCTCGATCAAACCTTGAGAGCTTAAGCAATTAGCCCAAAGTGTTGGAAAATCAAGGGTTTATCTGTATTTTTCACAAAATGAACAGTGAGATAAAGCCATCATGATGGATTGGGTGGAATGACACTATCTATTTTCCCTTAAAAATGTGCATTTCTGGCCAGGCATGGTGGCTCACACCTATAATCCCAGCACTTTGGGAGGCCAAGGCGGGCAGATCACGAGGTCAAGAGATCGAGACCATCCTAGCCAACATGGAGAAACCCCGTCTCTACTAAAAATACAAAAATTAGCTGGGTGTGGTGGCACGTGCCTGTAGTCCCAGCTACTTGGGAGGCTGGGGCAGGAGAATCACTTGAACTTGGGAGGCAGAGGTTACAGTGAGCCGAGATCAAGCCCCTGCACTCTAGCCTGGGTGACAGACAGAGACTCCATCTCAAAAAAAAAAAAAATGTGCATTTCTGATTAGGCAGCATGGTGTGCCTGTAGTCCCAGCTACTCAGGAGGCTAAGGTGGAAGGATCACTTAAGCCCAGGAGTTGGAAACTAGCCTGGGCAACATAGTGAGACCCTGTCTCTAAAAAGTTAAAAAATTTTAAAAAAGAAACGTGCATTTCTTTAGATTCCCTCCCATATCCACTGCTGAAACCTGAAAAATTATAAACTCAGGGGGAAAATATTTGGGAAAGGCACATATACTGACTAGTAATTTGGGCAAATTACTTAATATCTCTGTGTCAGTTCCCTCATCTAATAAAGGGGATACTTTAGTGACAAGGATTAAATAAGATACTATATACCACATGCCCAAAAGCGTACCCAGTACAGGATAAGCATTTAATAAACATCAACTCTACTTCCAGAGCTCACAAGGCTTCCAATTTGGGAAGGGTTTCTAATTTTGGCTCTGTGAGTCTGAAAGGTCCAAAACAAATATCAACAGATACAAAACCACTTAAAAGCATTAAAATATAGGTTCTCTTTTTTTTGAGATAAAGTCTTGCCCTGTCATCCAGGCTGGAGTGCAGTGGCATGATCCTGGCTCACTACAATCTTCGCCTCCTGGGTTCAAGTGATTTTCATGCCTCAGCCTTGCTAGCTAGGCCAGTCTTGAACTCTTGCTCTCAAGTGATCTGCCTGCCTCAGCCTCCCAAAGTGCAGGGATTACAGGTGTGAGCCACCACGCCCAACCAGCATTACAATATAGGTTCTTACTTTATTTTGATTTTATGCCTTTCAAGGTAGAAAAGAATTAGGCTAGGTTCAGTGGCTAATGATTATATTCCCAACACTTTGGGAGGCAGAGATGGGAGAACTGCTGAGCCCAGGAATTCGAGAGCAACCTGGGCAATTTTGTGATACCTTGTCTCTACAAAAAAAAACTTAAAAAAAAATTAGCTGACATGGTGGTACGTTCCTGAAGTCCCAGCTGTTTGGGAGCTTAAAGTGGGAGGACTGCTTGAGCACAGGACGTCAGTGATGTGAACAGCGACGGCACCACTGCACTCTACCCTGGGTGACAGAGTGAGACCTTGTCTCAAACAAAAAAAAAAAAAAAAGAGAAGAATTATAATTAAGGATAATTGTTCTTATTTTACTCTGGGAGCAAATTTAGTTATAAAATCAGAATACTGGTTTCTCAAAAATTTCCATTACCATTGATTAGCAGGAAAGATAAATAAAAAATGCAGATATCCAATAAATAAACATAAAATAAACAAATTGCATATACTAATTGTTGAGTTCCTGGAATAAATAAATTCAATCAAAAAAATTTCATGGACAAAAAGTGACATGCTTAATGAGAAGCTAAACAGAAATTACTATTATTATTATGTTAGAGACAGGGTTTCACTCTGTTGTCCAGGCTACTGTGCAGTGGAGAGATCATAAGTCATTGGAGTCTCCAACTCTTAGGGTCAAGTGATCCTTCCACCTCAGCCTCTCAAGCAGCTAAGACAGCAGGTGTGCAACACCACGCCTAGCTAATTTTTAAATTTTTTGTAGAGATGGGGTCTCACTATGCTTCCCAGGCCAGTCCTGAATTCCTGGCCTCAAGTGATGCTCCTGCCTTGGCTTCCTAAAGTGCTGTGATTACAGGTGTGAACCACCATGCTTGGCTAAACAGAAATCAACTATAAAGATGAATACCTGCTGCCAATAACGAGCGACTTCTGGCAAATTCAGAGCCTCACAGAGATAAACCAAATTCAGAACATCCTTTTGGAAGCAGCTCCCACCAAACCCTGCAGAAAGAAAAAAATGAACAATATTTTAATGTAAGAACAAGACAACTTGATCATGTGACAAATTTCTTTATACTAAATCAGAAAGCTTATGTTAAGATTTTTAAATAATAAAATTCAGATGGATAATTAATGGACTTATAAATTGTATAAAATTTGCAGGCAACTTAACAACTCCATGAGTAACTTCCAAATAATTTTCTAACTAAAGTTTCATAATGGCTACCTTTAACATTTTGTTTCCTTTTATCCCCTATTTTTTTCTCATTCATCTAGTATGACTGCCCCACATCCTTTACTTTAGCACAAGATCAGCAAACTTTTTCTTTTTTTGAGACAGGGCCTCACTCTGTCACCCAGGCTGAAGTGTAGTGGTGCAAACATGGCTCACTGCATCCTTGACCTCCCAGGCTCAGGTGATCCTCCTACCTTAGCCTTCCAGGTAGTTGGGGCTACAGGTGTGCAACACCATGTCTGACTAATTTTTTGTATTTTTTTTGTAGAGGTGGCGCTTCACCATGTTGCCCAGGCTGGTCTCAAACTCCTAGGCTCAAGCAATTCGCCTGCCTTGGCCTCGGCCTCCCAAAGTGCTGGGATTATAGGCATGAACTTCTGTGCTTGGCCTGGGTCAGCAAACTTTCATGGTAAAGGGCCAGACAGTAAATATTTCAGTCTTTGTGGGCCATTCAGTTTCTGTTGAGACTATTAAACTCTGCCATTGTAGCTCAAAAGCAGCCATAGACAATATGTAATCTAATGGTCATGGCTGTGTTCCAATAAAATGTATTTACAAAAACAAGCTGTGGGCTGGATTTGACCCAGAGGCCATAGTTTTTCCACCCTTGCTCTAGTGCAATCCAATATGCTATAAGGACTAATACGGCTTTGGCATCAGAAACATCTGGTTACTCAACTGCATTACTTGAGCAAGTTGCACAAGTTTCCCTGAGTGTGAATCACCTCTGAAAAGAAAATAACAGCACCTTCCTAACAGGTTATAAGGAATAAATGAGATATATAAAGTGCTGGTACTGAACCTGGCAAATAATATGCTTTCAGTAAATAGTAGCTCTTTTTATTAGAGAAAATTTTTAATTTACCAACACTGGCTTTTAGAAACTTGTTTCCAATTCTCTGGTCCATTCCAATGGCTGTTGCTACCTCTTCTACATCAGCTCCTGTGGCTTCACACAGAGCACTTATGGAGTTAATGCTGCTTATTCTCTGGGCAAGAAAAGCATTTGCCGCCTTAAAAAAAAATAGAGAAGAGTAAGATAAACTAAAAGAGAAATTTTATACATCTAGTTTGTATTTCAATGAGTTGATGCAGATTACTGAGGGAGATATATAAGATACTCATGGGCTCAATTTGAGAAGACAATGGATGTAAAGGAAAATGTTTTAAATTAGAGAGGACAGATGATTAATCAAAAGGGTAAAGGAAGGGAAACAGTGATAAAAACCAAATTACTATTTTAAGATTTCAGAATTTTTCAGATTATTTTATACTCTGATATTTGATCCCCCTTGTGAAAATTAATTCATAATTTGAATGTGCAAGCATAACCTCTTACTACTATTAAAAAAGTATCTGTGTAGCTTATCAGGCTTAAAATAAATAAATGCTTGGCTTTAATTTAATAGAGAGTTGAATGCTATATACTAACCAGTTTGGAAAGCTCTGAAGACCACGTATTAGTGGTGAGGATCTTTTCTCTGGGAACCCAGTGCTCATATACAGCACAAAGGGCCTGCACAGCTCTCTGGCCCTCTGGAGTTTCATCCCCTCCAATCAGTACTCTGTCTGGGTTCTTTAGGTCCTTGATGGCTGTTCCCTCTGCCAGAAACTCAGGGTTGGACAGCACCTGGAATCCCAATACAAAGGAAAGGTTTTTTGTTTTGTTTTGTTTTTTTGAGCTGAAATCTCGCTTTTGTCACCCAGGCTGGAGTGCAATGGTGAAATCTTGGCTCACTGCAACCTCCGCCTCCCAGGTTCAAGCGATTCTCCTGCCTCAGCCTCCTGAGTAGCTGGGACTATAGGCACGTGCCACCCCGCCCAGCTAATTTTTGTATTTTTAGTAGAGATGGGGTTTCACCATATTGGTCAGTCTGGTCTCAAACTCCTGACCTCAGGTGCCTGGAAAGTTTTAAGCTAGAATTAATTATGGGCAACTTTAACACATCAGTATTTACATAAAAATAACCAGTATCTAATGCTTCATTTTTCATACCTGTAAATTCAAGTTGGGTTTTGTGTTTGCATCAAATATGCGACGAATACTTTCTGCTGCCCGCACTGGAACTGTGCTTTTCTCAGTCACAATTTTGTACCCATTTGAGTTTTGCACAATGCGTCTAGCACAAGCTTCAATATACTTCAGATCTGCTGCCCGGCCTTTCCCCATTCCATAGGTTTTCGTTGGAGTATTCACCTGATGAAAGTATATGGGATAAATAACAGAGTACCTGTGAGATAGTGATTTTGAGATATACCCTGAACTATTGATTCAAGTGCACAGTTACCAATCATCGGTAGCCTTGATTTAATCCACCATTAGATTTACAGAAATAATACATTTTATAAACATAATCATCAGAATAAATAGCTTGAGGCATCTAGAGAATTCATTCAATAAATTTTTGTTGGGAAGCTACTATCTGTGTGCCAGATAACCAGGGCAGGCAGATTCCAGTTAAGCCTTAAAAATACAGAAATGAATGAGTCAGTTATCCTAAAGGATTTCACAATCTGAAATGAAACAGAAGCCTTCTCTTATTCCCTTTATTGTATACATTACTATAGTCCTTAAAAATGAGCTTTAAAACGCCTTTCTTTTTTTTTTTTTTTGTTTTGTTTTTTTGAGATGGAGTCTTGCTCTGTTGCCCAGGCTGGAGTACAGTGGCACAATCTCAGCTCACTGCAACTTTCACCTCCCGGATTCAAGCAATTCTCCTGCCTCAGTCTCCCAAGTAGCTGGGACTATAGACATGCACCACCATGCCCCACTGATTTTTTTGTATTTTTGGTAGAGACAGGGTTTCATAAGTCATGCAGGCTGGTCTTGAACTCCTGACCTTGAGATATCCATCCACCTTGGCCTCCCAAAGTGCTGAGATTATAGAGGTGAGCCACCACACATGGCCTTCTTTTTTTTTTCTTTTGAGATGGAGTCTTACTTTGTCACCCAGGCTGGAGTGCAGTGGAGTAATCTTGGCTCACTGCAACCTCTGCCTCCCAGGTTCAAGCAATCCCCCTGCTTCAGTCTCTCGAGTAGCTAGGGCTACAGGTGCATGCCACAATGCCCAGCTAATTTTTGTATTTTTTTTTTCTTTTTTTTTATATGGAACGCTTCACGAATTTGCGTGTCATCCTTGCACAGGGGCCATGCTAATCTTCTCTGTATCGTTCCAATTTTAGTATATGTGCTGCCGAAGTGAGCATAATTTTTGTATTTTTAGTAGAGACGGAGTTTAGCCATGCTGGACCTGGCCTCCTTTTTTATTCCTCTATTTTTACAGTCCTATACTGACAGCCTTTTAAAATATCTACAGTATCCTTCACATATCCTTTCTGAGCTCATTAGAGCTAAACATTATCTATCGTCTTCAGGATATAGAATACTATGTGGACAAAGACTCTTTTTTTTTTTTTTTGAGACAGGGTCTTGTTCTGTCACCCAGGCTGGAGTGCAGTGGCGAAATATTGGCTCAATGCAAACTCCCTTCCTAGATTCAAGCGAATCTCCTGACTCAGCCTCCTGAGTAGCTGGGATTATAGATGTGCAACCACACCCAGCTAATTTTTGTATTTTTAGACTGGGTTTCACCATGTTGGCCAGGGTGGTCTCAATCTCTTGAATTCCAGTGATCTGCCCGCCTCAGCATCCCAAAGTATTGGGATTACAGGCATGAGCCACCACATGTGGCCAATGGACAAAGACTTTCCTATAGGGAAAAAAAAATCATAAGCCTAGAGTCTAGGCATTTAGTTTTGGACTACAGTAACCTTGGAGAAGTGTGGCTGCCTCTGCCTCAATGATCTCATTGGAAAATGAGGATAGCAGGCTCTCTAAAAACTAACACATGAGTGTGCTCTGACAAAATGAAAGTGCTCTGAAAAGTGTAAAACTTAAAGAGAATAGGAATTATTTTTGAAATAATAGAAAGGAGTAATCACTCTCTTCTCTTGATATGATTATAACCTAATGGGAGACTAAATAAAGGAAGCAAGTGAAAATAAATCGAAACTTGAAGATTGAGTTGAGGTGTGAAAAGCAGGAGGAAAAAGTTGTTTATATGCACTGGAACAACTTAGGGCAAGAGTTAGATGTAATGGAGTACAGAAAGGCAAAGGCAGCTCATGCTGTAGGGTGAAACTGGCTGGAGATGGGAGATGAGTTTTCAAAAACTGTTGTTTTCAGCGCTCCTTTACCAGGGGAAGCTGTCTGATCAAACAGTTGAAAACTGATTGCTACAAAATGATTCCTGTCTGGCATTCGAAAACATTATTTTTAGATGTCCTTTCTGCAAAAAATTCTATTACCATTCCAGGCTCTGGTCACCTAAAAATTAGACTAAGTAACTCATTTTTTCCGGGTACCTACTCCAAAATATTTTCTTATTTTTTTATGCCTCTACTCTAACTTTCTACAAGTTTAAATAGGAGATGGGTAGGTAAGTCATAGAAGCTGCATCAGTTTCTCTGAAGTGATTAAGGAGGTCAAAAAGAGGAGGCTGAATTCTTTCTCTTTTTTTTTTTTTTTTTTTTTGAGACAGGGTCTCCTTCTGTAACCTAGGCTGGGGTGCAAGGTACAATGATGGTTCACTGCAGCCTCAATCTCCAGGGTTCAATCAATCCTCCCACCTCAGTCTCCTAAGTAGTCAGGACCACAGATGCACAGCACCATGCCTAGCTAATTAGAGACAGGATTTCACCATGTTGTCCTTGCTGGTCTCAAACTCCTAGGCTCAAGCAATCTGCCTGCCTTGGCCTCCCAAAGTGCTGGGATTACAAGCATGAGCCATCATGCCCAGTTTGTAAAGATCTTAAGTCATATAACACCCTCCTCAGCTTTCAGCTGGTGATAGCTATATCATTACATACAGAATAGATAGTTACTTGGACAGCAAGATATAAGTTGCTTTGGTTCAAATATTGAATTACTACAGTTTAATCTCAAGTGTTGCTTCTGTTTTTTTCATTATAAAGGTAGGACAGTTCAGCCACATTATGAGGCAAAGGTATCTGTTGGTTAGCCTGATAGTCTAATCAACATATGCCAAGTTATAAACAATGTAAAATTTATTTAGATAGGAGATGCCTCTAAGTTTGCAAACTGATTTTCTTCATCTCACCTCTGCCAACCACTGGAAACAAGAAATGATGAAATAAATATGAAATATACTATCATCACATGTGCTCTCAATGTTACCAGCATTTCCTAGTTCTAAATCTCAGATTAAAACTTTCTTTGAGTTTATTTGTTCAATGACTTGAAATGACATATTTGACCAGATGATTATGGGGTTTTGTGAACTGTTAGACAAAGTGACAACCAAAATGCAACTGGACAACTCTATAGTAAGCAATGTTGAGGCTTAATACCAATGGATTTACTATTAAAATATGATAATACTTTTATATAGGCAAGAATACATTAAAATTCACACAGCAAAGGAAAATACTTACAGAAATAAATACAAGATCAGCTTCTTTGATGGCATCATCAATATTGGTAGAAAAAAATAGATTCTTTCCTCGACAGGATTCTACCACTTCTTTTAGTCCTGGCTAGAAAGAAAAAAGAAAAGGAATTGTACATCTAACTTGCCAGTTATGTGAGATAACCTAATCATATAGAATTACTTTTGTTAAAGGGCAGAGTAATATGGTAATTTAAATGTGTAGGTTGCTCTCAAATTACCTTTGTAGAAAAGTTAAGGATCATATACCAAAAGCCACAAGTGCACATGTTATTTTTTTATTTTTTATTTTATTTATTTATTTATTTATTTTTAAATATGGAACGCTTCACGAATTTGTGTGTCATCCTTGCACAGGGGCCATGCTAATCTTCTCTGTATCATTCCAATTTTAGTATATGTGCTGCCGAAGCGAGCACACATCTTATTTTTTTAATAGAGACAGGGTCTCTGTCACTCAGGCTGGAGTGCAGTGGTGCAATCTCAGTTCACTGCAGCCTCTGCCTCCTAGGGTCAAACAATCCTCCCATCTCAGCCTCCCCAGTAGCTGGGACCACAGGTGCCACCACGCCTGGTTAATTTTTGTATTTTTTTTTGGTAGTGATGGGGTTTCAAAATTTCAGTGTGTTGCCCAAGCTGATATCAAATTCCTGAGCTCAAACAATCCTCCTGCCTCAGCTTCCCAAAATGCTGGGATTATAGGAGTGAGCCACCATGCCCAGCCCATTTATTTTACTTACTTATTTTTGAGACAGTCTCTCTGTCACCCAGGCTGGAGTGCAGTGGCAAGATCTTGGCTCACTGCAACTTCCATCTCCCGGGTTCAAGCAATTCTCCTGCCTCAGCCTCCCAAGCAGCTGGGATTACAGGCATGCACCATCACACCGGGCTAATTTTGTATTTTTAGTAGAGATGGGGTTTCACCACATTGGCCGGGCTGGTCTTAAACTGACCTCAGGTGGTCCACCCGCCTCAGCCTCCCAAAGTGCTGGGATTACATGCATGAACCACCACACTTGGTCTATGTTATTTTATTTTTTGATACAGGGTTTTGTTCTGTCCCCCAGGCTGGAGTGCAGTTGCATGACAACAGCTCACTGCAGCCTTGATCTCCCAGGCTCAGGCAATCCTCCAGCCTCCTCCTCCCAAAGTGCTAGGATTGCAGGAGTAGGCTAGCATGCCCTGCTTCATAAGTATACTAAATAAAGCAAAATGGAAGTTGCCATTGAACTTGCTACAGTCAGAAGAGCAGCTCATTTAATGCTTTGTCATTGTTTACCATGTGCCTTACTCATAAGAGTTAACTATTAACTCTGAGTATGAACACAATTTTCAGAAAATTCAAGGTCCTCTGTGATTTCAAGCAAATCTACTTTGCATTGTCATTATGATTGCACATTTTTTACCCCCAGTAATTCGGGCCATACAACGGCTGCGAAAGTCAATTTATTCTTTATACTTAAATAAATGTATATTTTTCTAAATCCTATTACAAGAAACTTTTATTTTTTTTTTTAATTCCTAGTTTAACAAGAGATATATTTATGTTAAAAATATGGAGGAGTATAAAACCAGTTAACAAATATCCTTACAAAAAGAAAATCAAGCCTAAATCTGACTGGACCTGTCCCTGTAGATCTAACTACCAATTTACATAAAATAAAGAATAAGTTGAAAAACTCCAAGGGAACTCAACCAGCAAAATCCAGACTGAAAAATTTTTTTTTTTGAGACAGAGTCTTACTCTGTCACCCTGGCTGGAGTGCAGTGGTGACATCTCGTCTTACTGCAACATCCACCTTCCAGGTTCAAGCAATTCTTGTGCTTCTACTCCCAGGCAGCTGGGATTACAGGCGCACACCACCATATCTGGCTAATTTTTGTATTTTTAGTAGAGATGGGGTTTCTCCATGTCAGCCAGGCTGCTCTCAAACTCCTGGCCTTAAGCAATCCACCCGCCTCAGCATCTGAAATTGCTCAGATTATAGGCATAAGCCACTGTGCCCAGTCTAGACTGTGAAAATTTCTAGGCAATAAACAAACTGGTTTCTTCAACCAATAGACAGAAGAGAAAAAAAGGAGAGGAAACTGTGAGGATTAAACTATTATGGGCTACCAGACTCGGCAACATGGTGAAACCCTATTTCTACTAAAAAAATTTTTTTAAATAGCTGGGCATGGTGGTGTGTGCCTGTAGTCCCAACTATTCGGGAGGCTGAGGTGGGAGGATCACTTGAGCCCCCCCAGGAGGCGGAGGTTGCAGTGAGCCAAGATCAGGCCACTGCACTCCAGCCTGGGCAACAGAGCAAGGCCCTGTCTCAAAGAAAAACAAAATTATCTCTTAGAGATACATGATAAAATATTTATGGATGAAATTATAAATAACTAGCATGGTGGTAGTTGGGAAGGGGGACTGGCCATGTAGATAACAGTTGAAACGAGGTGATAGGCACGTGGAAATTCATTGTACTATTATCTTTAATTACATGCTTGAAATTATCCATAATAAAAAGAAAACAGACCTAAAGCCCTGAAGCTCTCTCTTAGGGGAGAAGCTTCAAACAATATCTATGTTGTTGAGTGACTTCTACTCTCGGGGTGCTTTTCCATAGATTCCCATATCTTATATTCCTATAGATAGCAGGCAGACCTAACTTAAGGGATAAAACTGGATTGTGACTTTCCTTCTGAAGGCCTAACGCAATTACAGTCTATGGTTGATAACAGTCATAAACAAACAAGCTTTGGCCGGGCGCAATGGCTCACACCTATAATCCCAGCACTTTGGGAGGCCAAGGAGCAGGGGATCACCTGAGGTCAGCAGTTTGAGACCACCCTGGCCAACATGGCAAAACCCTGTCTCTATTAAAAATACAAAAATTAGCCAGGAGTAGTGGTAGGCACCTGTAATTCCAGCTTCTCAGGAGGCTGAGGTAGGAGAATCATTTGAACTCGGAAGGCAGGTGTGGCAGTGAGCCAAGATCGTGCCATTGCACCCTAGCCCGGGTGACAATAGTGAAACTCTGTCTGAAAAAATAAACTAAAAATAACCAAGCTTTTCTGGGGGGAAAAAAAATAAACATATTAATGTTAGCTAGCAAATGCTACCATCAAATTTTCAAATGCTTTCCTGTTGAGTTTCAAAAGCATAATATGAACTCATTTTTCAGGGAAATAACAACAAAAAAAAGGCAACTGAGATAGCTCAGTAAAATAGTTAGAAGCATATTTTTCTAAATTCTCTAAATTCACAAAATTTTGAAATTCCAGTTAAAAATATTTCTGGCACTAAACTCTAAATATGAAAGATGCCATTTATCCATCTAAGGTTTGCCTGATGTTAGTATAATAATCCAAAAATATATTAAACTTACATTCATATTATAAGAACAGTTTATTTTTACAGGATACCACTTTTTAACTTTATTATAATATGGCAATGATACTAACAAACAAAATTAGAAAAAAGGGAAAAAGGCTGGGCATGGTGCTCATGCCTGTAATCTCAACACTTTGGGAGGCTGAGACACGTGGATCACTGAGTTCAGGAGTACAAGACCAGCCTGGCCAACATGGTAAAACTCTGTCTCTACTAAAAATACAAAAATTAGCTAGGTGTGTTGGTGGGCGCCTCTAATCCCAGCTACTTGGGAGGCTGAGGCAGGAGAGTCACTTGATCCCGGGAGGTGGGTATTGCTGTGAGCTAAGATCATGCCATTGCACTCCAGCCTGGGCGACAGAGCAAGACTCTGCCTCAAAAGAAAAAAAGAAAGAAAAAGAAAAAGAAAACACGGAAGAGAAAAAATTACCCATAATCTCACGCACTAACACAACCATCTGATAGACTTCTTTCTGGTCATTTTTCCCACCCACATTACCCAAAGTAATGTGTTTTAATGTCCATAATGTTTTCTGTTTTGTTTTGTTTTGTTTTGTTTTGTTTTGTTTTTGAGATAGAGTCTTGCTCTGTTGCCCATGCTGGAGTGCAGTGGTGCAATCTCGGCTCACTGCAACCTCCACCACCCAAGTTCAAGCGATTCTCATGCTTCAGCCTCTCAAGTAACTGGTACTACAGGCATGTGCCACCACGCCTGGCTAATTTTTTCTATTTTTAGTAGGGATGGGTTTTCACTGTGTTAGCCAGGGTAGTCTCCATCTCCTGACTTCATGATCCGCCTGCCTCAGCCTCCCAAAGTGTTGGGATTACAGGCGTGAGCCACTGCGCCTGGCCAATGTCCATAATGTTTTATATCCAGATTTTTTTAATTTAATTTCTTATCAGTTGCACTTATTTTTTACATTGATAGTGCATATAAATTATTTAATAAAACAGAAAACAAAGAGCATAAAAACAGAGTTGTTTAATATGTTTACCTCATAAATAGGAAGTGTAGGAGAATTCCATGCATTGATTCTTGATTCATTGACATCAACAACCGTTACCCTGATTTCAGGACACATATGAGCAATGACACTACACGTGGGTCCTCCAACATAGCCTGCACCGATGCAACAGATCTTCTTAATTTCAAACATGATTGTACTAGAAGGAAAACAGTAAGATTGTTCTAATATTGAAAACAGAAAATTCAAAGAGATCATATTGTACATTCATTACACTTTATAAAAACTGTCAAGATGACAGATATCTAGAAAGATTTCCTACATTCACTCTGAGGAAATATGAAAATAGAGATTTAAAATATAACATTCCAATTGGACGACCTAGCCTGTTCTCAGTTGCACTAGCATAAAACATATGGAAAAAAACCACAGTAACTGATATTACTGAAGGGGAAACACAAAGATTATATGACCTAATATTTAGAAAGTAAAAAAAATAAAATCTTTCTTAGGCCTATAATACACTAGGACAATTTTGATTGCTGAAAGTTCCAGGATGAACATACTTGTACAATTCTTGCTTAAATAAATGCTAGTGTACAAAGATGAAGGTTTTTTTTGTTTTGTTTTGAGACAAAGTCTTGCTCTGTCGCCCAGGCTGGAGCGCAATGCTGCGATCTCGGCTCACTGCAACCTCCGCCTCCCAGGGTCAAGCCGTTCTCCTGCCTTAGCATCCCAGGTAGCTGGGACTACAGGCATGAGCCACCACACCTGGCTAATTTTTTTTTTTTTTTCAGTAGAGACATGGTTTCACCATGCTGGCCAGGCTGATCTCAAACTCTTGATCTCAAGTGATCTACCCGCCTCAGCCTCCCAAAGTGCTGGGATTACAGACATGAGCCACTGTACCCGGCCAAAGATGAGTTTATAACAGGTTTAGATTATGATAATATAGAATAAGATTGGTTCCACAGTCCAGAATTGGCCTCTGAGATTATATGCCCTACACACAAATTTGGCTTTTGAAGTTTATTTTTAGGTACTAGGCAGTGATCTTAAACTCCATTTCAACTTTAATCGGAAACCATAAGATGGTTAAAGAAAATGTAATTTCTGTAATTACCAAAGCTGTTACACAGATTTTTTTCTTCCCAATGCCAGCAGAAAAGTGGGTTACACAGATTTTGATAGGTTTCAAAAGCATTAGGTAAATTGATTCACACTAATCAAAATTACAAGGAACTGATTTATACATAAGTATGTCCATTTATCTGTTATAATGAGAACTATCAAACTGATCATATTCTTAGAAGCAAAGAAATGATTTTGCCTTGCCAAGACCTCAGATATCATCTAATCTAACCCATTCACAGATTGCAAAGAGAAGGAAAATGGTAATCAGAAAGTTTAAGAATTTGTTAGTATACTCCTGCATGAATCAGAGAACACATTCTGGAAGGCTGGCCTAATTTGGATGCCTGGCAAGAAGAATATCCCTATTATGAAAAAAGACAAAGCATATAATTAAGATTTTCCAATTTTGACTTGAGTCTGTATTAAACAATGTTATAACTTTTGGTTCTCTGGATAGATTTTCCTACTATAAGAAAATGAGCTGACTCATCCATGTAAGTACTCTGGACTGTTTGTAGCCTGTGTTAATAAACTACTAATCTGACTTATACATTGATCTTTTAGTGCTGCAGATGACAGCTCATGGAGTCTGATCCCTCATGACTTTTATTTTTATTTATTAATTCTTTTTGAGACAGGATCTCACTTTGTCACCCACGCTGGAGTGCAGTGGCACCATCTCAGCTTATTGCAGCCTCTGCCTCCTGGGTTCAAGTGATTCTCGTGTCTCAGCCAGCCAAATAGCTGTGACAACAGGTGCTGCACACCACCACACTGGGCTAATTTTTGTATTTTTAGTAGAGACAGGGTTTTGCCATGTTGCCCCGGCTGGTCTCAAATTCCTGAACTCAAGCAATCCACCCGCTTCAGCCTCCCGAAGTGCTAGGATTACAAGCATGAACCACCGTGCCAGGCCACTCATGACTTTTAAAAAACTATTAAAAGAAATAGAATTTTGGCCAGGCGAGGTGGCTCACGCCTGTAATCTTAGCACTTTGGGAGGCCAAGGTGGGCGGATCACGAGGTCCAGAGATCGAGACCATCCTGGTCAACATGGTAAAACCCCATCTCTACTAAAAATACAAAAATTAGCTGAGCGTGGTGGCATGCACCTGTAGTCCCAGCTACTTGGGAGGCTGAGGCAGGAGAACTGCTTGAACCCAGGAGGCAGAGGTTGCAGTGAGCTGAGATCACACCACTGTACTCCAACCTGGTGACAGAGCAAGGCTCTCTCTCAAAAAATAAAATAAAAAAAATATATATATATATATATATATAATTTTGGTAAAATAGTAAAAATTGACAGAATTTTGAATCATATGATTCAATTAAATAAAGCAGTATTCTTAACCATATGAAATACATTTTTAAAAATTATTTATTCTGGCCAGGCGTGGTGGCTCATGCCTGTAATCCCAGCACTTTGTGAGGCCGAGGCGGGTGGATCACCTGAGGTCAGGAGTTTGAGACCAGCCTGACCAACATGGCAAAACCCCATCTCTACTAAAAATACAAAATTAACCAGGCATAGTGGTGCATGCCTGTGATTCCAGCTACTCAGGAGGCTAAGGCAGGAGAGTCGCAGAGGTTGCAGTGAGCCGAGATCACACCATTGCACTCTAGCCTGGGCAACAAGAGCAAAACTCCATCTAAAAAAAAAATTTATTCTGAGTAGATATTAAAATTAAATTAAGATATTAAAAAAATTAAGATTCAAAAATTAAATCTGTTGTAACAAGATATACATGAGAAGTTTCACTCCAACCCCTTCTGTATCTACTTTGCTATCCCCTACTTTGCTTCCACACAACCCTTGCTTTCTTGTATATCTCCCCAGCTACAAGTAAACACACATATATATTCTAATAATCTTGTCTTTCTAAATTCCATAGAATACCATATATACTATTAACACCTGGCTTTTTTCACTTAATTAAACCCAGTATATTTAGAATACCTAAAAAGTAGAATCTCAAAGTAATGTTGGACCAAAGGATCTTTTAGAGTTACCACTTAAAATAGCCAAAATGTTATTAGTTCATAGCCAAAACGTTATTAGGGCAGCCTTTACCTTCAATCTCAACCAGGACAGATTCTCTAACACATATATTAAATGTAGAATCAATGTCTACTTGTTGCAACTCCCGGGCTTAAGGAGTTCATAGTTTAATAAGGCACAGCCAGGCTAACAGTTCTTATTTGCTGCTGCTCCCTGCTGTATCCTTGACTCCTAGAACAGCAGCCTCTCAATGATTATTAATTGAATGAATGAGTAACTCTCCACAAGGCTCTCTCTTTTTCAGATGAAGACTTCTATGTAAATAGTTTTAGTTCAGATTGCTGATCATAGTATTTTTGCAGTAATTGACCAGAATACTATCAAGTTCTTTTTTTTTTTTTTTTTTTTTTTTTTGACAAAAGGTCTCACTCTGTTGCCCAAGCTGAAGTGTAGTGGCACAATCTGGGCTCACTGCAGCCTCCACCTCCCAGGTTCAAGCGATTCTTTCACCTCAGCCTCCCAAGTAGCTAGGACTACAGGCACCTGCCATCATTCCCAGCTAATCTTTTGTATTTTTTGGTAGAGACAGGGTTTCACCATGTTGGCCAGGCTGATCTCAAACTCCTGACCTCAAGTGATCCACCTGCCTTGGCCTCTCAAAGTGCTGGGATTACAGGCATGAGTCATCGTACCTGGCCAAGTTATTTTCTTGAGTCAGCATGTTTCCCCAGAGTTACTACCTTTTTTTTTTTTTTTTTTTTTT